GAAACATAAATGGACCCACTAAAGACCACAGAAATCAAAATTTGTCTCGCGTAGTAGCGCGATGCGATCCGCTTTGATGAGCATGCCGAACCGATTTGTGACTGATTGGCGTGCTGAAAAAATCTATTTACAAGAATGCATTCTGACGGTCATGCGTATCATTTGCAAGGTTAGAGTTTGGCAGAATTGATGACATCTTGTGTGTAGGCATTTCAGTCGTGACGCAGCAAGAACATGCCCCAATTGGATTGACACAAAGTCTAAAAGTGTGTCGCGGACGAAGTAGTCTACGTGCTAAAGCATGTGGTTTAATGTGTGAGTGACCAATTTGCTTGTCAGAAGGCTCACAGCGCTCTTAGTATGCAATCCGAGTTGAGGCCACAAGTTCAGCACATAGAATGTGAACACAGCGTGTGCGCTTGATGCAAGCTGTGAGGGAGAACTCTTCACTGGGTCGAATCTAACGCTGATGAATCAACGATGTAATGGAATCTGATAAAACCTCAAGATATATGAAAGGATCTCCAAACAAGGTTATCAATCCACCTTGATCGTTCCCTATTAACAAAGGGGCGAAATAAACTACGATTTAAATATGGATCATTATATTCTTCTATTAGTTGGGTGGTCTCTAAGATAATATTTAGTCCCAATAAAACTTGGAATGCATTACATCTTACTGGACAAATAATCGGGCAAGTGGGTCTATGTTGGCTCTTTGTGGAGACGACATCACAATACCTGTTCGTCGGAGCCGTTTTCATGCCCTGTCTCATCAGACGATTCATCAACAAAAGCCTAATTAGCTAAATGCACTCATTTGTAAATAAATTTGGTTTTGTGAGAGACTCATCTGGAACCCAGCTGAATCTCTCCTTTATGATGTTTCTAAGCCTTATCAGTGAGTAACGGTGTAGGATGCGTCGTGTCTCAGTGTGGCCCAGGTATGTAGGAGCAAAGTAGTTTTTGTGGGGCACGCATGTATAGTTCAACTTGTATCCTTTCCACGCATACTAAGAGAACAATTAGATGCGTTTCTGACTGGTGTTGGTGGTCGATTTTTCGGCGGGCTTTCCAAATTTGCCTGCATCCGTTTTTTGCGTTACCCGCTCTGCGCTCAGCTGATGATCCACTTTCTGAGACTCGTGGCCTTGAGACAAATCGCTCTGTTATTTTTTCACCTTTTCCATGTTGATAGACCGGAGAGTGAGTGCCTTTCGTCACTAAGTTCATCATATTTTCTCTGTGAGGACTAAGCACCTGTTTAGACCGATGCAATCTGGTGTGTTAGTCAGCGTTAGAATGTATTGAGAAAATAATAGTCCTCTTGTGGTAACCCGCAGAAAGGCTAGGTTTTGCTAGCGGCGGTGCTGTATGAGTGCTATGCGTCCGAATTTTGCTGACAAAGAAGAGAATCTCGGTAACTCTGAATGTGAAGTTGTTACTTATGGTGTCCGGTAAGCTCAAAATTTGGTGGTAAACGTTTTGTTGCGAGTGGATTTGACCATCAGTGTCTGGGAGCGTGACAGTGCCTCTCGGTTTCGCGGTGAGCGGAAGCGTGGCAACTGAGAGCTTTGTTCCAGGTGCGAATATGGAGAAATCGCTATAAGCGAACGTCCATAGTACTGTATATATATATATATACGAAGTCCATGAAAGTCATGATGCTCACTGTAGAATGCAAAATCATATGTCGTTATTTGGGTTGTTCAACACTAGCGTATTTAAAGGATCAACATGACGAGCAGAAACCATTGGTTATCCATGGCGTTGCCCAAACCCACTGCTCAGAAGCTACTCATGGGTGGTTTAAAAATTTTATGCCAGAGCCAATGCCCTATTTCTGTGACAAGACGTGTTGGATGAGCACTGCCGGAGTTTTTCGTAACAGCTACAAGGCAACCCAGCCCGTTCTCACACTTTTTTGATGCATGAACTCATAAGTTAGCGATACATTGGAGTCATTTTTCTGCCGAATGGATAAGGCCACAGGTAACCCATTTCAAGGACCTCCATGATCACCTTCACTTTTCTTTTTTGGTGACTGGAAACTGATCTCTTAGTTTTGCTCATAAGCCAAATGAGAAAAAGACCCAGCTAAATCAACACGAGTGGGTCGTGGGTAACTAAGGTAAACCCGATCATATAGACTCACATAACGGCATCCGTGTTTGTACAAGGACCAAGTTTACCTAACGCACCGTGTTTTTTTTCATAAAATTGATTGGATCGATTCAAATGCGAAACAAAAAAACAGTCGGGTAGAATGTCGTCTCATAATTGTTTATTGTACTCACTGGGTTGTAGGTTATCAGTGCAGTGACCTTACAAACACGTAGATTTGGTTTAAACCTTTCAATAGGGTATAAATTTATTGGAGTTTTTAAGCATGTCACATTTTTACATGGTCAGTTCTACTTCTTGAAAACCTTGTCTGTGGTCGCACTTGAGTGAATAAAGAGAAAAAACGTGGACCAGTTCAGAATTTAACCGCTGCTCTTCGTGAGAACCGTAAACAAAGTAGCCGTCACTTGCTGTTGAGTCACAAAGTTCTACTGCTCCAGTGTTTTGTTGCTAGATTTGATCTTCACACCCATGTAGGTTTCGGAGCGACATACATCAGCCTGCCAAATACATGTTCACGGGGGGTCTTCTAAGCTTGCAATTTCTGGTTGGTAAAGGTAGTTGAAGATTATCATAGTCACCTAATGGAAAACTGGCAGAGGGAATTTGAAACTTCAATCTATCGGGCCGAAAATGAACATGGCAGACCTGGTTATCCTTTATCTAGAACAAACAGAGGTGCGTATTTCACCGATGTCACAACAGAATTAAACCCAAGTATTCTGAGATAACAAACTAGGTACAGAATCAGCCGCACTGCATTTCAAGTCATGTGACCTGACGGACTTTCTGCGTGAGTGACGGCTTCTCGGTAAAAAGATTGTGAGGTGTTGTAGTGCACTACTCATAAGGTCGCTGGAAACTCCTCGATGGCCCACGACCGGTTTCGCCCTTTTTGGGGCTCATCAGGTAGGCGCAGTCCCCGAGTTTCCGTCAACCTTATGTTCTACTTGAAACCAAATTGCAGGAAGTTAGCGAATAACACTCATTTGCAAACAAATTTGGAAATCTGGAAACATCAAAACCGAGAGATTCAGCTGGGTTCCGGGTGAGTCTCTCGCAAAACCAAATTTGTTTGCAAATGAGCGTATTTCGCTAATTTCGTGCAATCTGGTTTCAAGTACAATACATGTTTGACAGGAACTCGAGGACTGCGCCTACCTGATGAGCCCCAAGAAGGGCGAAACCAGTCGTGCGTTGTCGAAAATTTTTCAGCAACCTTGTGAGTAGTTTCCTTCAAGGAACTACACTACGATATCTTGAACATCTTACTAACTGAAACGTAAGACAGCCTGTGTGCAGCACATTAGGATGTAGAATATCACAAACGAAAGATTCAACCGATTCTGTTGAAAACACATTAGTTCGAAATTCATCATTGACTGAAGATGCACTGACCATACCATCATTTTCAGACAGGCGTGTGAACAGCGTCACTTTTCATAACTTCTAACAGTGGTGGTTTGTGTTAATCTGAAAGCTGCGCATGTCTCTCTCGATCGTGAAAAGCAGTTTCTTGTGATCAAATGCAAGTTTTCCAAAAAAAATTAAATCCACAGTTCTTCAGATCTGGCGCTACCATATGTGTTTGTAAAACCTTCGACGAAATTTACACCTAGACAGGACTGCTTTTCTATGGAGGTAAATGTCGGTAGCTCAGGTAGCGTAGATGGTGGTCGTTGGTTTGTTCGCTGAGCTGGGCAATTTGATTGCAAACGTTTCATTACTAATCGAGGTGACATCATCAGTGCGTTATTGCGGAGCGTAGCAATGCGTAGCGGTGGGTTGGTGGTTGTGCTTTCTCTCATATTCCTTGTTTACATTTTTGTTGATGTGCCACTTGCCTACGACACCTCATAGGTCGAATCCCCCACAGAGGCGTTCACTCATTGACTGAATGCGCGGCCGTTATTGTTCACCGTGGTTTAGCTGCCCTGTTTAAGTGACCTTTAATAAACCTCTCGCAAGGCTTGACGTGAAATTCACTTTCAAACAATGCTACCAGCATTGTTGGGGTCAAACCCAACAAACCAGCTAGTCAATGCGATCGATAAATTCATATGTGGAGACCTTTGTATAGGTACGATTGGGCTCATTAAAGACCAAACCAAAACCCTATTTCGAATAGTCAAAGGAGCTTTTATTCATCTTCGATGCCTGTGGGGCAGCCGCAGTTTTGATCTTCCGTTACCGGTGGAGTATACACTATGGATAGGATATACCAAAACTTCAAGTGTATCACCAACGGTGTCTCCAAAGCCTTGCTGAGAACCTCGAATCAAGAACACTGAGGTAGGCAAAATGGAGGAAGGGGCCCTTTCGCCACATAAATGAAGCTAGTTAGAACACCCATTTCACATGCCACAGAACTCTCAGCTTTGCAGGGTTTGTTTCGTGTAAACATGTGTTGAGTGAACACGATTAATAGGCGAACACTCCATGATCTAGAAACGAAGGATGCCAACTCTAACCGATTAACTTATTCAAACTGACAGCCATGGCTCGTTGGATAAGTGAGTGTCTGGTGACATTGACAAACATGACTTGGCAATTGACTTGCAAACGTTTCGTCACCATACGAGGAAACATCATCAGTGCGCAGCTGCGTCGATACTGCTTCCTTACCTGCGTTCGTTTATATAGCATTCGAAGGCTATCTGTTATCTTCTGACGTGATTGGCTACCTGAAGTGTAACGAATGCAGTGAATCTGTTGGTCCGTTTGGACAACGACTCACCCGAGCTACCAATGTTTCAACACATTACCATGACTTAGTCCCGTGGTCTCCGGTGTGTTCGCAGTCATCACTTTCACTGTGTGGCTGCCCCAGTTCCCACTTCATCAGCAATTAGAATGATGCAGAAATACGCAATGCGATGCGACGCACATCAATTGGCTTTCTAATCCATGGATTCTCGTTGAAGTAAGCCACAGCAAGTGGAACCAAATTATCCTTCACACTTAACTGCAACCATATGAGCTTCGATAGAGTGAGGGTCATGCAGCTAATCAGAAGTGGCGAGGTTTCTCAGGCCAGCCTACTACACCAAAAATCCTTCAACAAGTCCCGTATAGTCTTTGTTCTTATATATAGCAAGATATTAGATATCTGCGAAGTACATCAACAAACCGAAAACGTGAGAACAGAGAGAGTGAAAATCTAGCGAGGATGGAACTTTCCGGAAATGTTTTTCCCACCCTGTTTCTAAGACTAACCGAATAAGCCATTGCATTTGAGTACAACTGTCCCCTCTCAAGAGGTCACCTGGACGGATTGCTCAGAGGTGATTTGTTCTGGGAGGTAGTCGCTTCCGAAAGGGGACAGAAGGGAAAAATACAAAAGACCAAAAATATTTTGTAGACAAACCTCACTATTCCAAATTTGATAGATCAATCACTCACTGTTTTTAGCTTAAGAAGTGATTAGGATAAAAGCTCAAGGGTTTCCAATTTAATCTTAGACACATACTGCTTCACTTCACCTATCCATTGAATCACGATGCATAAAGCATTGCATAAAACATCAACCGGAATAATCCACTCTTGCGACCAAAGCAGGCAAGTGCAAATGCCAGGAAGCATACTGGTTAGTTTGGAGGATCTCACAATTCACCAAAGAATCGATAAGATGCGTTCTCATGCTTTCGCCTCAAGGACTATAATGCGTAGTAAACAGCTGATTAGGGTTGGAAGTACACGGGTGCTTAATTCACCCGGCGCACTGACAACCATCTTTTGTCGGCCATTTGAAATCCTGTCATATGATCCTTCCGGTCCCTCTTTGGGGATACTTTGGCCCGATGTGTCACCCTGGATTCTAGCTGGGAAACGATCACCCATAACGTCAATGCAATCGTCAGTGGACTAGATCAAGTAGACTATTGGGAGGAAGTTCTATCGGACCAACTCTGTTTTTGTTCAGTACTCCATTCGCCCTCCGTTACATCCAGCAGGCGGAACTCAGCCCAAAATAGCGAAGCCATCAGTGTGTGTGGTTTCTACCATACTATCAGGAGAGCTTTCACCCTATGGGTAGATGGACAGTCAGTCATTAACATCAGTCAGCTCGCCGGGTTCATTCTTGACCACTAGCCTCCGCCTACGATTGGAGTAACGGTGACCAGCGTGGTAATGAAGGGGAGGAAATGAAACGGGCAAGTCCTTTGAAAGTGGTGTGAAATGTTCTTCGAAATGAACTTATCACATTTGGAAGCTGGAATACCAAATCAAGATACCCAGGTTATTTCGCACTGGATGATTGGAAGCAGAACTATCGGATCATATTGCCAAACGTGTCTTGGAATTTCGGTTGCTGAGCTATTCACTGAGTTTGGTAGTTGGATTGCAAACGCTTCAACACCATTCGAGGAGACAGTGTCTTTTCGGGGTTGGGTGGTGGACATCGATGAAGCAGCAGACCCGTTTTTCAGTTCACAACTAGCCCACTTCCTCTAAGCAATAGTAAATGGTTCGTAGTTAACTGATAGCTTCTGAGCAGTTTCTCTGGTGAGTTTGGTCTGACACAGACAAGTAATAGAGCATCCAACTGACACAAGTTTTATGACCACCAGTTTTAAGCAGAACGAGTATCAAGCCAGTAGGCGATGTCAATGAGTAGAAAAAGGGTAGCAAAGAGTTGAAGTGACAAAACTTTTCGTAGGTACAAACCCCATAATGATTAGGAGTGGAGGATAGGCGGCAGAGCTGGGTGCCCGAAATGTGGAGAGAGAGAGAAAGGCAAAAAAGTAGGGAAGGTTCCTCCATCTAAAATCGGAGCAAATGATGAGCTTAAAGTAGCCGCTTAGATTACGGAGGTTTGTACTGAAAGAGTAGAACCATAGGGGGCGAGATGGCTCAACTGGTTAGAGCGCGAATTTACTGATCGGAAGGTCCATGGTTCGAACCCGACCTCTACCTCTTGACTTTCCCTGTCTAGGCTTGGGCAGCCTGACACTATCCCAGTCCACGTGCTTCCTTCGGGTAGCATTGCAGCTAGGCACAGGAAGGGTGTTACAGCTGAACGATTTATTTTAATTTTAGAACCATATGTCGGCTCACCTCCGTTGCCAAGACGTCAAGACTAGACTAAATGTCGTCAAGTCCCTTGCACACGCAAAAGTCTTTCTCCTCTTTTGGGGTTTTGAGACTAACAACATGATGGGACATTCCGCACTCCGCACCTTTAGTTTCTCGTTTGTTCACCCAAGCGCGGCATCAGTAACTGATAGCAGAAGTTTGTACTGTAGCTATTTCGGGTGTGCTCAGCCAAAGCAATAGTGATGAAAAGCCTCCATCCATCTGACTGCATTTCCGACCTCTAGATTATTATTTCTTGTCAGGAAAACTTTGATTATTCGCAGAACTGACCGAAAAGTTGCTAGATTTTAAACTCCTTGCCCCACCATCTACTAGTAAAAGAAAGCAAGACGACGAAAACCTTTGTTATTGATTCATGGAAGAAAACCATATACAGAGTAGTCACGTGAAAAAAACAAGCAAAATACATGAGGAACAGATTTCCTGAGTATCCACTTCAGCATTCAAGGTAATTTTGCAAAATTTTCTAGTCTGAAGGTACACAGTCGTATAGTTATGTGTGGCGTATTACTCATTTTGTCTATTACTTCAATATACAGGAAGTTGATGTTCGTACCATCCACCGTATTTTTCATACAAAACAAAACGACTGGCCTTCTTGGCAAACACACTACTCATAAGGTTGCTGAAGTCGTTCCGGCAACTAACGAACGGTTTCGCTCTTACTAGGACCTATCAAGCAGGAACAGTTTTCAAGTTTCACTGTGTGCCCGTCAGTGTCACTTTTGTGGCATTTTATTGCGACATTAGTGAGTCGAGCGGGCAAGGTACGGTTCGCTCTCTAAGCCTTTGTGCGGATTCGGTTTAAGTTGACTGAGGTCAGATTGAATAAAATTACCGACTTTTCAAATCGCAGCTCTTTCGTCCAGGCGAGTATAATATACACACTCATCAGCGTGACACCTGATAGTCACCACTAAGCCCAGCTCAAGTAGAGAAGGTTTTTTGTGCCCACTTTGCCAGTGGTAATCTATTGAATCCCGAGTGTTTTTGACTAGGATATTGCTATCAGAGTTTATTAGTCGTCCGCCACTCTTCACGGACCATCTCACTGTACTGTCGCTTTTTGAAACTGATTCTGCAAATTAAGCAGCACCGTGCTTTCTCTCATATATGAACTTTGCCAAAAACTTACGTCATATCATCCGCAACCGGGAGCTCGACATAAACTTTTAAAGTCAGTGGCTTTACTGTACGCATTTGTGATACCTTGGAAGCACTGTTCTCACTTCTAACACCTGGTTGTAAACTCAGTGCGAGAATTGCTAAAGACAGCACAACATTTGGTCGTTTTGGGAAACTTGTCCGGTGCAACGACGGCCAAAGTACATGGACCAGGTTTGAAGCTGTTTTTCACTGTTATGTGGTAACGAACCGCAAAAGACATTTGGTCACTTAACTGATTTCACGTTCTATTTCTATGCTGTGTCGTTCGCCACAAATGGACAGATCAAACTTGGCACAAAGAGGTTCTCTAACGGATGAATGTCACTGCAACCGACTGCAAAGCATTTGAGAGGAGTGGCTCAAACCCGTATGCGGGGGGCCGCCTATTTGTAGCTAATTTGAAGCTGTAAGTTAAACCAAGACACCCATCAAATTCATCTTGGGAACTGACTTTCATTCTAGGCCAGGAGAAGACCTGGTATTCTACAAGCATGCCTGCAAATCCACACTGAATTGAGAAGCTCTGAGACACGACATGTCACATACCCCCAGACCGAAGCAAGCCGTTCTGACAGAACTAAATCATTTTGGCATTTACCAGACTGTGGGTTCGTATAACGTGCAGCCACCCATTCACTTGTACAGACTAGATCGTGGATTATCAACGGTTTGACACTAGTACTTGTTAACCACCAACAAATGGAGCGAGTAGCATTGTCCTCTGTTCTAACCATCACTCGCCTGACACTGCATTCCTACAGGTGACAACTGACCGTTGACCAGGTAGCAGCTGATCCGTTTGCCCAGAATGGCAACTGGCTAGCAAATGTTTTGTCACAATGAGAGGAGACAAGCGCTGCGCAGTTAGGTGGGTGATCCCTCCACTGCTGCTTGCGTTGATATAGTTTCTAAGGCTTAGTTAATATCAGCAAGGTGAGTGGCTGTTCGGAGACTGATGACCCCATTATTTTATCTGATCACGCTCAACTGATTAACAAAGGTCTGACAATGCAAGCACAACTGTGCTGTGCAAAGACATTGGTAGTTCACACATTCTGCTTTTGGCAGTCAAAACGTCTGTCACCTCTTATCAGCCGTGTGGTCAGAACTCGTGAGCACCAGCCGATAGAGCGACTAGGTGACTCCGGTTTCAAGCTAGACAGATGCGGCCGTCAGACATTGGTCAGACATTGACCCACTGAAGGTCGACGGTACAGCCGTGGGTACCGTTTTCTCGAGTTTGTGAATTCGAATTAATTAGCTTGACCGACTACCCACACCGAAAGAAAGGTCGAGTTATAAAAAACTATCCTTAACGTTGTATAGACATAACACAATACTAATAGCGTTGCTGAAAACTTTTCTATAGCCCAACGTGTTCTATGAGCGCACTTGTTTCTTTCATAATCTCGCTTTCTACACCAAAGCGAACAGTTTCTTCAGTTTTACTGATTCACATTTGAGTTCTTTACCTACCGAGGCTTTACCAGTTGGAAATATATTTTGTTGTCCACAACTTATAGTGATGTCGAAAGCTGCAGTTTGAGGGCCACTTGAATCAACCCCAAAGCTTGTTAAAGATCTTGAACGTTTCAAAGCCACATTCCCAGTATAGAAGGCATAGAAAGAACACAATACACCAGTAAACCTCTAAATATCCCAGAGCACCCCGAGAACTACAGAACAACTCTGACTGAATAAGTGTAAAGGAATTGTGATTGTGTATAGAAGAGCTTATGTATTAACCGGAGTAGCGTTTAGAAAGGCAAATCCTAGTGGGCTAAAGCCGAACTAACTGTGCGCCTGAAAGCAGTCAGAAATTTGCCCCTTTGTTCACATTTGTACGGATGGCATAAAATCCATAAAGCAGAACCTCCGATGTTCCCGATCGTTGATAGGACCAGTCCTGCTTACAACTCAGTGGCTGCTTGAACCTCTTGGGCTACAGTCTGCACGACACATTTCAATTCCAGGACCTTATGAAAGCGAGCAATGCGGCCATTGAACAACGCTTTCGTTTGCCGTAGTTTCTTTATTAAATAAGTTGCCTCTACTGTAAACTATTTCTCACCTGTGCAGACCTATGCTGCAAGCTTCGAGTTACGCACACATGCAGATGAACAGAACAACCACCAACCGCCGTTACACACCACTACGCTTTCCACTAACACACTGATGATGTCATCTCGATTGGTGATGAAACATTTGCAATCAAATTACCCAGCTCAGCGGACAAGCCAACGACCATCTACGCTACCTGAGCTGCCGACATTTTCCTCTATAGGAGAAGGAACCCCTCCTACGCCACATCTTCAAAGTACAGTTTTCTTCTGATGATACATGTTATCGTCAGAGGGACGGACTGGCCAAGGGATCCCTAGTGGGTCCACTACTCACTGATTGATAGATGGACAAACTTGAGGATGCAATTATATCGGAACTCGTACAGTAAAGCGAACAAACGGGGACTATATTTCGTATCGTTGACAAATAGGGCAATTTAGTTAGAGTTCGAAATCTGTTGAAAATCTATCACACAGTTATCGAATTCACCACAAAGAATAAAGTGAGCGTTAGTAACCAGATGAGTCAGTCGCACTATTCAAAGGAGCATGTACCACAAAGCGATCTTCTCTAATTATGTTTCTTTACAGTAAAAGAGAAACCTTGTTCGTTGTCTGGCTTAAATTGCTCAAAAGATATGTCCTCACGACTTCTTTTAATGTGACTTGGGTGCTTTTGGAAACATGCTAAAGAAGAACTGTTACCCTCGTCAGTGTCCCAAGCAACAGTTAAAACAGAATACTAGCAAAGACCACCGAAATAGTCGAACCCAAACAATATTTTATGATGCCTCCTTTTAAAAGTGGCTTGATAATTGATGTGTTCCTGCAGTACCAAGATCCACATTGAACACGGCTACAATTCAGTATTTTTTCAACCTCACCTCTTCTACACCTAAAAATGTGGTGTTCTTGCTGATGATAACTTCATCTATGACTGTTTATGAATTCAGGCGCGCGTGTGGCGACACGTAGGCAGACCAGACAGTATCGCGGAAGCAAAATGCAGTGCTCTATTTTAGACAACCTTGGGTCATGGAACACGTCGTTATCGAGACACTGCATTTCGAATCGTTCACCAGGGGCCACAAAACACTTCCGAAGCGGCCGGATGAAGTAAACGCCGTCAGATTACGCAAGTTGGGAGGCCGTTGCCACCTGGTTACTCACATTCGAATTTTCTGCACAAAAGAGACTTCTAACACCTCTCCTATCATAAAATTACTCGCTAGGCCATATTTAGCAAGTAATCCAGAAAATCCGGTGAGTTGGATGACCTTTGTCCTGATTAACACGCAGATTTTCGTACCACCGCCTCGGTCTTACTGTAATTGGTCCATAAAGGAAACTACTCATAAGGTTGCTGAAAACTCTCCAACAGCCCACGACTGGTTTCGCCCTTGTTGGGGCTCATCAGGTAGGCGCAGTCCCCGAGTTTCCGTCAACCTTATGTTCTACTTGAACCCAAATTGGACTGTTTTCGAGAAATACACCTTGTGAGTAATTTCCTTTATGGAAATATCCTGCGATATCTCAAATATCAAGTAGAACATAAGGTTGACGGAAACTCGAGGACTGCCCCAACCTGATGAGCCCTAAAAAAGCGAAACCGGTCGTGGGCTGTGGAAAAGTTTTCAGCAACCTGTTGAGTAGTTTCATTTATCAGATTCGTTTAACTTGTGGAGCATATGGCTAACGATCCGGATGTTCACAGACTCAGAAGTATGGGTCAAAATCAAAAGACGCATCCCTCATGTGATTTGGTCCACTGTCACAGCTGTACTCGAAACGTGCAGAAGTTTGGTGGTATCACGTTATACGTATGGTTGAGTATACGGAAAGTAATTCATTTCTCTTTTATGGTTTATCTTAAGCCGAACATGTTACCAAAAAGGAAGTGATGGAACGTGAAAAATGAGGTACTTCAGTTACATTGGGTCATCCAAACGAGCTTTTTTTATACAGTTTGGCGTGGAATGTAGAAATGTGTGTCATTCTATTTGAGACCGATTCCGCTTTAATGTTGTGCATAAGGGCGGATGGACTTCACCTATGACTTTGGAAGCTTGCGATTGCAATAGTTTGAGGAATGTTATCTCACGTGCCGTTGTCGTAATTGTCCTAACTAGAAGTTAGGTATAAAACCTTGTCGTATCGTTCATTTGGGTTTCGTTAGTATCATGAGTGAGCTACAAACCGAATGATCTCACTCTTCGTCCATGTGTGCACATTTATGGGGAACCGAACTCTGTGGTATGGTTTTTATTTAGTTGGTTAGTTAGTTATCTAGTTACGACAAGCCCCTTGATATCAGGTAAAACTATTGACACGCACACCAAAACCCAAGCATTTCACACTCTCTACAGATGATTGCAACCAATCATTGCTCCTTCCATCCTGCACTTTGGCATTGGTGATACTTGATGCACTGTGGTTTATCGTTTGCCTAATATAACCATGCAGCAGTCTTCCAGATTTATCTATCATCATTATCCCTCTGATGTATGAGAACACAGGAGGACTATCATGCATGCACGCTTGCTTTCTTTTCCCGTGATACGAAGTCGCCTGCTTTTTACCAGACTGACCTTCCCTTGTAATCTTCGTGAGAGCCGCCTCATTCTGCCTACTGGATGAGTTCATAACTTCGAACATTTATCCGGAGGGGCCATCTAGCAGGCATCATGTGTCAATAAGTGTTGTGCTACCGGTTGATTTAGGATATCCGTCTTAATACAATCGGCTCCTAACTTTTTGTCAATGCAATTCTGAACACAGGGAATGTGGTCTCAGTCCCAAAGAAAAGAGCAACTGCTGACCGATAGATTTCTATTTAAGCAATCCACATGCAACAGAGTTGTATGAGCATCCTCGACAACATTTTCCAGGGTATAGGTCAGCTGGGTGTTTTGTAAAGGAGCACATCTCTTCCCCGAATTCGGAAGAATATGAACTTGTCGGTTTCGTGAGTGAAGTGACTGAAACAGAAAAACAGTATCATGTAGCCCCGTCGCCATCAAACACCAGAGTACGATTTCCAATACTCATATAAATGGACCTACCTGCAAAAATTCTTTCCTACAATGCAATGCCAAGATGGCTCATATTTGTCATCGAAAAACTTCTTTATGTATTCTGGGACTTCTTGAACAGATTTACACTGCAGTAATGCCTCACTGGCCACAGTTATTGCATCCTCCTGAACGTCAAAGTCCATTTCAGCGTGTAGCACAACTGCCTTTCCAGCCGCCATACGCTCCTTTGATAAAGTAATCTAATACGGCCTGTTTAATCCACCGGTTGCCTAGTTTGATTGATTCGCTTTGTCGAAACTTTCCTGATCTCCAGTCGATAATGTGTTGATTCTTCGAGACTGGTACAGTTGCCGTCACCACCGCGTAGACTGTCAAGCACTATGCGAGCCTAACGAAACACACCTGAGCTTTGCAGACCACCAACACTTGTGTACTGGTGCGTGCTAGTGAATATTAGAGAGAGAGACCTGCATTGTATTGGAAAGGTTTTGAATGTGTGCATGTATTTGGTGGTGGCGTATTGGTCCCACGTGACTTGGAGCAAACAACAGCGCATCGCACAAGTGGACTGGATCGGCAATTTGATCACGTCAATAGTTGTGGGGCTGAAACAGATCAGAGTGGTAATGCCGAATGGAAGATGTTAGGCGGATGAACCACAGGTAAGAAAACTGCCTTTGGGACGAATGGAAATGCAGTACTGAGGTGTAGCTCACTAGGGAACTGCTTAATTGTTACCCTTTGTGTGTTTCATGGTGCTCGCCTCGTTTATTCCTCAGAGTGAACTGAATCGTGGTGTGTGAGTGTGGCGGTGTCTGCCATATATTGAGTAGATGAAGCAAGTTTTCAAGTTTTTGAGTCTGCGATCTACTTTGGTTCCCACGACTGTCAATGCCCATCATCATCATGATCATCCCAATCATCATCATCATCATCCCGATCATCATCATCATCATCACCATCATCATCGTCATCATCATCATCATCACCATCATCATCGTCATCATCATCATCATCCCAATCGTCATCATCAACAACATCATCATCATAATCATCTCCATCATCATCATCATCATCATCATCACCATCATCATCATCATCATCATCATCAACACCGTCGTCATCATCATCGACAGCATGACATCAGTGTTTCTCAACCAGAGCCTTTTGCTCAAGAGCCTACCCGCAAAGCAGCGGTGTTTGGCGATAAATGCAAAGCATTAACATTTCTACGGAGCAAGTCAGCACATGTTCCAACTCCTAACCTGGAAGCCCAGGAGACTGTTTGTCAGACCTCTAGCCATTGACCAACCGGGCATGAGAGACTGAGTGTCGTGGAGACACCCCCGGTATAGCTCAGTGGGTCCCTGAGCAGCGCATACCGTCACACCAGGATACGGTCTAATCTCTTCGTGACGGACAAGGGCCCCATTTTTGAGAGTACAAATGTTTAAAGCACAGCCTCTCTCATGCCTCTGGCTCAGCAACGCTTTGAAGCTGAGAACAACAAAGTGAACATGATTGCCATGAAAACATTACTTGTCAATGTGGTGCACTTCGTGATCTTGTTAAAACATTGAACAGAGACCGGGTTGGTGTCCACGGTTGACTGTGTGATAAGACCTAAGCAACAATCAAAGATGACAGTAGCGGATTGCTAGAGCGACCAAGGCAACCTACGTCACAAAAAAAACACTTGGAATCCCAATGGGTGCCATGAAAATTGTTTGGATGGTTTCCTTCTCAGGCAGTCCCGTCACAAAGACTTGTTCCCTTTTCCCGCTGAAAAAGGCGCAAATTTATCAGGTTAGTGTGAGTCGCCAATGTAAGGATATGTTTTTCTTCAGAAAGAATTTAGGTCTGGCGACATAAAACATTTTGCAAGGACTTGAGATGCACTAGAACATACGCCGCTCAACTTGCTTTCGTTCGGTAGTGAGACCAGAAAAACGAAGGAACAACTTTCGAACTTGGTGTTAACATAGGAAGGCTCGGATGGACATAATCTACACGATTGATTCCCATAACTGTTAGTGCACGATAGAACGTCACTGACGGACAAAGTTCCAACTATATACCCCTGACCCATAATCGAAGTTTGTAATGTATTCAGATGTCAGAGCATGCGGTGTGCCGTGCGTTCAGGAGAAAACTATCTAGCTGTAAGCTGTGGATAACGCTTGAATTGAGACTGACGTTGAGCAAACTTATTCAAGGCCTTTATCGACTCAACCCACAGATTGTTCACCAATCTCTGATGATGAACATTTTGACTTCTGGTCCAAACCGAGTTATGTTTTCTCAGTAAAGATTCCATCCCGTAACTGAAGCCAATGTTGAAGAGCCGATAAGCGCCATGAAGATATTCATCCTTGCTTGGAATAACCAACACCTCATAAAGCCCAGGAAGTTTCGAATCCTTGACCCCTCGATAGTGGTTCGAATTCAACCATTCAGCCACGAACGGACTGTCAGTAGTGTGGTTTACTCGCATTTAGATTATATATACCACCATCCCCGAACTCACATCACGTGGTCACATGCAGTATTTTCTTGAATCTCCGAGTATATCCGGTTCACCCGAATAGTAACATTTTTGCGCATCAGTTAGTATCATTCCAGATGGCATAAATTGGAAATAATCCCTTTTCAAACCCCATTTATCACTAGATCAACAAGTGAAGAACAGAAATGGTGACAAGTTTCCCAGGAGAGACAACAGGTGACAAAGCAGATTTGCATAAGAAGTTGTTATTTGTTTAAAAAAGGGGCATGTCGGCTGAACTTCGGTATATGGTAGAAGGAAGTGACACTTTCGTAATCTTTTAATCGATAACTCAACAAAGTTATGCGACGGTTGAATGCAATACAATTAAATATGACCCTTCAACAAAAGTTACGACACTTTTGGGAATAGTTTTAAACCCCCCATGGACTTATCGTTACTGATTCCGTATGGCTTGAAAACATCCTATTGAAATGGGTAAAGAACGTTAGGTGCAGGAAGCTTCCTTCGAAGTGATGCTGAATTATTAAGTGACGTACTTTTAATCGATCGCCCATGTTATTCGTTTCATTCAGTGAGCTCATGAGTGGAAAAATCCAGCTTTCTAGCATACTTGTGCAATGTTGAATTTTAACAAATCACTGGGCGTGAATTAACCGTGCTTCGAACTGGTTGACGGTAGTCGCATGCGGTCCAGTCACCAGCCGAACCTTAATACGATACATGCGTTCGCAGGTAGATGTGTGGTTACGGATGGAACTAAGGTGCTCGTCTCAGATATTTTTAAACCTGGCTTTTTGGGGGGGTGTACAACTACTTGCCACTAGGCTACAAGCTTAGCCTTCTGAGTTGTTCGGGCTTGTTTATTGGGGCATCCATGATGTGATGAGGACAGCTGATATGCAGTAATTCATTGGGGAAGTAACCTCAATGACAGGAAGAACCAGTGAAATCCCTCACTCTGCCAGTCACAACCTTCTGGAAGGTTGTGAGAAACGGAACCCTGAAATCAAACTGCCCTCTTTCTAAAAAGAAAGCGAACCGGATGAAAACAAGCAGTCTGTCTGCAAAATGGCTGCAAAGTCGTTGAAAGCAGAGTCATACTGTGCTCCGGTGGAAAGGTGAATAAGACGATGCAAAGTGAAAATAGGAATTGGTTGTTGATCAGATGGCTGTTGGATGGAGGCCAAGTGTTCAACGGAACATGGAAATCCAAGGTATTGGAACCTTCAAACCCCCCAGAAAATTTAAATTTCCGACGCTTCTGCAGGAGGGTATAACAGAATAGGTACATCTATCTTCCATATTTTGAGCCTAAAATCCCGCTGCATCATTTGCGGCCAACAATTATGTTTCGAAGTAAATGAGAACGGCTGCTACAAATGGATCTCGTACTTGGTGTCACACCTACTTCGTATAAGGCAAGTTACATTCTTAAAGATGACGAGAACAATGCAAACGTTGAAGAGTGGAAGCGGCTTGTAAAGTAGCCTCTGAACAACGCATCAAGGTCGTTGCGGTTCCAGAAGTAATACGGCCAGATCACATTAACTCATCAAAAAACATAACGTCAATCGTTCCAAAGTTATTGATAGGCAAACATCTCCGCTTGCTTACTCGGAAACCAATCAAATCATTCGTTATGCCGTTGTGCTTCGTCACGTTCAGGTGGCACAGGATGGATATATTGGTTGCTACTGAGTATTTTGGCATAAGGCCACAGTCTTCACAAATCTCCACTTCACTTGGGGATATTTTGGCTCTTCCGGTCTATGTCACTTGTCTAGGGATTTTGCCGCATTCTACACAGCTGACGATCTTTAACTACTTTGATGTCTGACCGATAAAAGAAGCATCGTCTAGTCTCAACAATGGATTCACACACATTTCATCGCTAAACTCTCTTCCTTAAATTGTTCCCACGATTCCATAAAGTTCATGAACGCGGTTTTCTGAAGAAAAAGTGTACTTTGGAAGACTTATGAACCAACCCTATGTACTTCTGACCTGATTTATGCCCGATTCGGCTAAAATATAGCACACTCGTTTGCAGTTATGTACTAAAAAATCAGGTGGATAGACTCGCCTAATTAAGAAGTCTAAAAAACTTGGATAGTTCGGAATGTCGCTGAACAATTCTCACGTAACAAAATCGAAAATCAACAAAGACCAGCTGATTTCTTGATCTTTGGACACTTTCTATGTGCCTTTATAGAATCACAACATAAGACAGGAAAAAATTGACGGATTTGGGAGAATCTGGAATATCGAAAAATGACGTCAAAAATATAGATGTGCAAGATCAAGTGAAGTGTGAGACACAATTAAGTGTGATGTTGTAGATATGAGCTGTACGTGCTGTGCTATAAGAGAATGAATACCGCTAACCGTGACAATGTCTTCCGTGTTCACGAGGTTCAAATAAACAAGAAAGTGAGTTGATCTTGCACGTTCATCAATCAAATATATATTCTCTACATTGTCCCAAAATATGTGAGGCAAAGGCATCAACCGCGCCAACTTCAACTTTTGACTGGCAATGACTATCGAACAATGACACTGCTAGACACAGCAAATCCGAAACATCAACTTGAGGTATATTCCAATAAAATAGAAGTTAATGCATAATGGTGAAAAAACTGCTCTTAATTTGTGAGTCAGTCAGCATGATACCTTATTTTCCAACTGAAACGAATGACACTCTGAGAACTTTTACGTTTGATGACTAGGCGGAGAATGGATTTGTGTGGAGCTACAGGTCAGTTTAAGTGCTTCCAATTCGATTAAGGGCAGGAGTTTTTCAGAAAATACAGTCAAGTTGCTATCACGGCATGTGGATGGCTTCAAACCCTCAGTAAAAATTTGGAATTGAGCGTCTCTGTTGAAGACCATGCCTGCTGACGGCACGGTCACTTCGAAGTATTGCCGGTA